TCACAAAGCTGTGTGTGTTCTGAACGGGACTGCAGCCATCAGTGAAATGTGTGTGACACGGAGGGCGCTGTGGTCTCACTTTCACAAATCTGGCTGAGTGAGCTTGTTGTTGAACTGAGTTCACACAGGTGTGAAGTGTGGTGGCTGAGCGGCTAATGTAGGCTGGCTGCTCAGGCCGGCAGAACCCGTCTGCCCCAAACTTCACGCAAGGCTCCTAACCGGGAGCAGCAGTTCCAGCGACACGCTCTGCACCCTGGCCTGCCCGGCAGGTGCTCGGCTTTATTAATCATGGCTGTTCCATCTGCTTTTCCAAGTTCCCATTTCCTAACATGCATATGTTGTGGTCAGTCACATTGACTCTAACCGCGTCCCCTCTCGCATATGAGCACCGGGTGACTGTGTTGGCCCTGAACCTAGGATTCATCGCTAAACCACCTGGTGTCCAATGATTACATTCCCTTTCTTGGGTAACATTTTAAAATGAAATCATTGTGGGCTGAGCAAGGTGGCTCACGTCTGTAATCCCAGCAGCACTTTGGGAGGCCGAGGTGGGTGGATCACTTGAGATCAGGAGTTCAAGACCAGCCTGACCAACATGGTGAAACCCAGTCTCTACTAAAAATATAAAATTAGTCCGGCACGGTGGTGGGCGCCTGCAATACCAGCTACTAGGGAGGCTGAGGCAGGATAATTGCTTGAACCCGGGAGGCAGAGGTTCCCCTGAACCCAGATAGCACCACTGCACTCCAGCTGGGCGACAGAGCAAGATTCCGTTTTTAAAAAGAAAATATGAAACTTCTGTGGAGGTGACTGTAAATTTGTAAGCAGCTGTGAGAGACAAAGTGGGGGGTCTCCTGCGCCTTGCCCAGTCTCCTCCAAGGGGTATAGGTTGCAGGTCGGGCGTGGGGACCGTCCCCCCAGCGCGCAGTTCCCTCTCCTCTTCATCGCTGCTGTCACCGAGCCTTCAACAGCGCGGGCACCCGCCTGCTTCTGCGGGGTGCTCGGGACTGAGGGGCGGGGGGCGGCGCTGGCGTTTGGGATGCGCAGGAACAGGCGGCCCCGGAACGCGGGCGGGCGGGAAGGGCAGCGGGCTCCGTGCAGGGCCTCGGCCGCCGCACCCCGGGCTCCCCCGGGCTCCCCCGGGCTCCCCCGGGCTCCCCCGGGCTCCCCCGGGCTCCCCCGGGCTCCCCCGGGCTCCCCCGGGCTCCCCCGGGCTCCGGGCTGTTTCGCCTGGAGCACCCCCTGGAGTAGGCCGAGGGCCCGGGTGAGGAGCCTGACCCGGCCCCCGGCCTTGACCTCGGCGCAGCGCCTTCCCCTTGGGGCAGGCGGCCCCGGGCCTCGCCCCGCCCAGCGGCCTCCCGCTTCCCGGTGTGAGTCACCCTCCGCCCGGGCCTCTCCCGGCGACGCCGCGCCCTCAGCCCGACCTCGCTCAGCTCCGGGGCGGCCCAGGCCGCTCGGCTCCCACCGGCGGGGGGCGTTCGCGGGGTCGGGGGCGGCAGGGCGACCCCGTGACCGCGGGGGCGTGGCGGGGCCCCCCAGGGGCCGGAGGCGGAGGCGGAGGCGCCGCGCGCACTCACCCGCAGCGCGGCCTCGGCGTCCCCGGCCAGCAGGTGCACGCAGCCCGCGTTGAAGCACAGCCTGGCGGGCGGCGCCGGGACGCCCGAGAAGAGGCGCAGGGCGCGGGCCCAGTCCCCGCGCTCCACGGCCTGCGCGCCCAGGTGCCACGCGCGCACCAGGTCCCCCAGCGAGGCCATGGCGGCGCCCGCGGCGGAAGGCGGCGCTCGAGGAGGGGCCGGGATCCCGCGGAGAGGCCCGGCCGGGTCCAGGCGGCGGCGCGGGGCTGCGGGGCCTCGGCGGCGGGCAGAGGAGCGGGCGCGGCGCGCCAGGTGCGACCCCGCCGCCCCACGGCGCCCCCTGGCGGCCGGCGCGCGCCCCTTCCCGGTACGGCCACTCCCCCGCCCCGGGACCTCCTGACCACGCCTCCACCAGGCGCGGCCACGCCCCCATCAGCCCTCAGGTCCCGCCCCACCCAGCCCGAGACCTCCTGGCCACGCCCCCAACCCGCCGAGGCCACGCCCGCTCCCTCTCCTCTGGTCACGCCCTCCACCCCTTCGGCCCCGCCCCGGCCGGACTTCCGCCGGGAGCTTGGTGCACTCGGCTTCTCCTCCCCGCCCGCGTTGGCCTCGGTGCGCCGGAGAAAGTGCTCCCGGCCGGCCGCTGCGGTCGGGCCAAGGTTCCGCGCCGGGCGTGGACGGTGTGGGGCGGCCCCGGCCCCGGCCCCGGCCCCGCAGGTGAGCGACTCCGGGCCGCGCGGGCCAGGTGGGCGGCCGGGCCGCCGAGGGCAGAGCGGGGCCGCGCCGGGTGCGCGTCCCGAGGTGGGGGCCGCGGCGGGAGGGAGCCGGGGCGGGGAAACTGAGGCCCGGGCGGGCCGGGAAGGCGCGTCCTCCCTCAGGGCCCCGCTCCGGAGGCGCCGGCCTGTGCCGCGGGCCCCGGAGGGCGCGCCCCGGGGCGCCCCGTGTGAGCCGTCAGCCTGAACTCGGGACGCGGCCAGGCCGCGGGGCCCGGGGGGTCGCTCCGGCGGAGGCGCCGGGATTCGCGCCATCGCCGGTCGCAGCGCACGGGCTTCGCGCGTCGCGGGGGCGCTCGCGGGCGGAGGCGGGCCCGGTTCCCGCGCGGCCCGGGGCGCCGGAGGGCTGCGGCTGCGTTCCCACGGCCCCGGCGCGTCACGCCGGCCCTCGGGGCCGCGGCTTCCAGGGGCTCCGCGGTGCTCGGATAGACGATGCTTTTCTCGCCTGCCCCGCTGTGGCTCTAAGTCCTTCTTGAACGCGGCGATTGTCAGAATCTGGGGGTCTCGGTGCCCCCTCTTGCTGGGGAGGCTCATTCCCAGAGAGTCGTGGCCCGTGTCCGTCGGGAAAGGAGACGTTTCCCTGGGTTTTTTTTTTTTTTTAGAACACCAAATACTGGCTCAGCACGGTGGCTGACACCTGTCGTCCCAGCGCGTTGGGAGGCTCAGGTGGGCGGATCACGAGGTCAGGAGGCGGAGACCAGCCTGGCCAACATGCTGAAACCCCGTCTCTACTAAAAATGCAGAAATTAGCCGGACCTGGTGGCGGGCGCCTGTAATCCCAGATACTCGGGAGGCGGAGGCAGGAGAATCGTTTGAATCCAGGACGCAGAGGCTGTAGTGAGCCGAGATCACGCCACTGTACTCCAGCCTGGGCGAGACACTGAAACTCCATCTCAAAAAAAAAAACAAAAACAAAACCCAAAAACTGAATTGGAGTGGCACGACAGGGTGGCAAACATGAGACCTCAGTGAAGTCATTAATTTATAGAGCTGCTGTCATCTGTTGAATCATCTCTAGTTTCTAGAAACACCATAATTTTAGTTCTCTCAGAAGTGACACATAGGATTATAACCAATTTGTATGCCAGGATGAAAAAACCTGTTCCATTAGGGAGACAACTAAAAACATGAAGAAACTAAGATCCAGGTTCTTCTTTCTTTTTGTTTATGAAGAGACCAGGTCTTGCTCTGTCCCCGACTCTGGAGTGCAGAGGCATGATTCCCACTCGTCACAGCCTTGAACTCTTGGGCTCAAGGGATCCTCTTGTCTCTGCCTCCCGAGTACCTGGGAATACAGGTGTTCACCAGGACCGGCTAATTTTCAAAAATTTTTGGTAGAAACTAGGTCTTGCCACCTTGCCCAGCCTAGTCCTGAGCCCAAGCGATCCTCTCACCTGGACCTCCCAAAGTGCTGGGATTACAGGTGTGAACCCCTGTACCCAGCCAGGCTCTTCTTTAGAGACTCGTAGCCAGAAGATTGTTTAGGATTTAGTCCAAATTGTAGGAAAATAAAAAATACAATGGTCAGGGCTAGAATCCAGTAACAGGTATGCTGTATTTTTTCTCTGAAACATAATTTCTCTCTGTCTACTTCCCCATTTCTACCAAAGATAAATCTTGGTAAGACCAATTTACTTGTAAAATATATTTTATGACTACATTTGGCCTGATGATTTGCATGAAGTACAACTAGTGATTGGCCATATAGTCTCCTTTTTAAATTGGCTGGAACTTTGTCATAAGGAATTCCAGATTAGACTATTTTTTCCCCATGTCACACAGGTAACGTGCTGATGTCACAGAAGGTTTGAGGGCAACGTATCTTACACGTGAGCCAATCATCGTGCTTATGAACTACAAAAGCATCAGATTAGACCTTTAAAAGCCATTTGAGGGCTGGACATGGTGGCTCATGCTGTAATCCCAGCACTTTGGGAGGCCAAGGCAGGAGGATTTATTGATCCCAGGAGTTTGAGACCAACCTGGACAACATAGTGAGACCCCTGTCTCCACAAAAAATTTAAAAATTACCTGGGCATAATGGTGCACACCTGTAGTCCCAGCTATCAGGAGGCTGAGGTGGGAGGATCACTTGAGCCCTGGAGATTGAGGCTGCACTTCAGCCTGGGTGACAGAGTGAGACCCTGTCTCTAAAGCAAACAAACACTTCCCACGTCTAGGAGGCCAAGCCAAGGGCTGCCCATCACACAGTATTTATAATACCTCTATGAATTGGGGGTGAATGTCACTCCTCCAGGTCCCAAACTATCCTGGATCTGTCAGAAAGTGACATTCTTTTTTTTTTTTTTTTGAGTCTTGCTCTTTTGCCAGGCTGGAGTGCAATGCTACGATCTCAGCTCACTGCAATCTCCACCTCCTGGGTTCAAGC